ACCACACACTTGGTTTTCTGTGTCAGCGTTTTAGACGAGGACAGAGTGTTGTCTGTAGGCAGTCCTCCAACACTGAGATGTGTCATGAAGTACGGTCCACACTTTATTCAGGGGTCCTTGGTTTTGCGGATGTCTTTTTTTAGTTTCTAGACCACAGGTCATTCAATGGCATGCCACCTTTGGCTCCTATGGGTTGGGATGGTGACTCTAATTTCCCCTTGTTTTGATGACCTTGACAATGTTGTGAATTACTGGTCAGGCATTTTGGGAATGTCCCTCAGAGGGGGTTTGCAGGACGTCTCCCTGGGACCAGGGTTATGAGTTTTTGAGAGATCTCAGAGGCAGAGTGTTGCTCTCATTATGTGGTATCAGAGGTGGTATCCTGCTGCTCAACATGATTTATGGCTGTTGAGCTGATCTTGGCCACCTGGCTGGGGTCGAGTCTGTCAGTTGTTTTCCACTGTTGAATTGCTCTTGCCCTTCTCCTGCTGGACTCACTAGGGGGAAGTCAGTGTGGGTGTCGCACGCTCACGCAACAGGAGGAGCTGTGCCTTAGCTGCTTGAGCACAAGCACCCGCATTAACCTGTGGAGTGCGTTCTGTCGTCCTTCATTTACTTATTTCTAGGGACTGATTTATTTGATGTGTATCAGCGTTTGCCTGCATGAATCCATGTGCACTGTGCGTGTGTGCTCAGTGGTAGCAGAGCCCAGAAAAGGGTACCCAGATACCTTGGAGCTGGAGTTACGAACAATTGTGAGCCAAGGCGTGCTTGTAACCAAACCTAAGTCCTCTGCAAGAGCAGCCATTGCTCTTTTATTCTTTCATTTATTTTACTTCCCAACCACCGTTTCCCCTCCCTCCTTTCCCCCCATTCCTACCTCTCTTCTGCCTCCCCGGAATCCACTCCTCCTCTGTTTCTGATCAGAAAGGGGCAGGCCTTCCATGGGTATCAGCAAAGCATGGCAGATCAAGTTGAGGTAGCACTAAGCTCCTCTCCTTGTATGAAGGCTGGGTGAGGCAACCCGGTATGAGGAACAGGTTCCCAAGAGCCAGCTAAAACATTGAGGAAAGCCTGTGCTCCCTCTGCTAGGAATTTCACAAGTAGACCAAGCTACACAATTGTCACTCATATGGAAAGGGCCTAGGTTGGTTCAATGCAGGTTCCTTGGCTGTTGGTCCAGACTCAGTGAGCTCCTGTGAGCCCAAGTTAGTTATCTCTGTGGCTTCTCTTGTGATGCATTTGAGTCCCCTGGCTCTTACAGCCTTTCCTCCCTCTCTTCAACAGAGTCCCTTGAGCCCAGCCCAGTGCTCAGCAGTCACTGCTCTTAAGCACCGAACCGTCTTCCCATCTCACGTCCTCTAATTACTTAGATAACCAATTACTTATGCTAGTCTGCACTCACAAATATTTGCTTTCTACTTGTGTAAGTTAGCCCTTATTTACCTATTTCAAACAGGGTTTCATCCTATGGCTCTATGGCCCAGGCTGGCTTGAAATCTACTATACGGCCTAGGCTGGCCTCGGACCCACAACTGTTCTTTTGTCTCACCCTCCCAAGTGCTAAGCTTACCCGTGTGAGTCAACCACACCCCAGTGAGAGGTAGACTCTGGGGGATGTTTCAGCTTGCTGCTGTATCCTTTTGTTGGGTCCTACGTGTGTGTGTGTGTGTGTGTGTGTGTGTGTGTGTGTGTGTGTATGTGTACACACCATCATGAATGTATAAAGCATTCTTTGGCCATCAGGTCAAAATTTTCAAACCGGATATTGAACCCATGTTGTCATACATCTGAAGCAAATGTCCTACCACTGAGCAACAGCTCCAAGCCTCCTTGTCTATTTGGCTCTGCAAAATGCTGCAATCTAGTTTTGGTCTAGTCCAAGAATTTCTTCTGTCTTCATACTAGCAGGATGTGACATTCCTGTAATTCCAATAAGGTCAACTTGAGTTTCATAGTGGGTTTGAGGCCAACCTGGGGTACATGAAACCATTGTCTCAAAGAACCAAAACCCAAACCAAATCAAAGGATATCAGATAGCTAGGAGGGCATTTTGTCTGGGTATGCCTGTGAGGATGTTTTCAGTAGAAACTGGCCATTGAGTCAGTGGACCAATACAGGAATATACCCTCTTGTCCAGCGGTGACAGGCCACATTCAATTGGCTAGGAGCTCAGATAAAACAAACAACCCCTGATTTTTTTTTGGAGCTTGGCCATATTCTTCTGCTTGTAGACTTCAGAACTCTGTTTCTCTGACCTTTGGACTCTAGGACTTGTACCAGCAGCTCCTCTACCCCTAGGTCATTAGATTTCAGCCTAAATGATAAATGATAAGTAGGTGTTTTATTGGGGATGAACTTACACAGGTAACAGTAACTGTCTTGGCATCCCTGATTGAAGGATGTAGATCCGGCCTCTCCAATGCTCTCTGAGACCCAAGAAAGGGGCTTCCCTCCCCAGCTCCTCTACCTTAAACGGGTCATATCTACATCTGAAACCACACCCAAAGGTCATGGCCATTGTTACAGGCCCACAGGCAAGATGCTGCTATATATTAGTATTTGCTGATTCTGCTGACTCAGCATTGGACGAAGAAATGCTTCTAGTTCTCCATCTTATAGACTGCCAGTCATAAGTTATTCCACACCCTATCATCCATCCATCAATCCATCATCTATCTATCTATCTGTCTGTCTGTCTGTCTATCTATCTTTCTATCATCTATCTAATCTACCTATGTATCAATCTATATATCTATGTATGTGTGTATCCATATATGTATGTATGCATGTATGTATCTATCATCTATTTATATCTACCATCTATGTATTTATATCTATCTATCTATTCTGTATATCTCTCATCTATCATCTATCATGTATCTTAACTGTATCTATCTATATATCTGTCATCTATCTATGTATCTATGTGTCTGCATATCTATATCTGCTTATCATCTATGTATCTCTGTATCTGTCATCTATCTACATCTACACATCTATACATCTATCTATCTATCTACCTATAATCTATGCATCTTTTTATCTGTCTGTCTAGTTCATTGCCATAATCACCACAATCATGACCATTGATCTGTCTCCCTAGAGAGTCTCATATAGATGTCTATTCTTCAATAGGTTTCATTGTTCTTAGGAATCCCTAATGTTGCCAGGAGTTTGGGAGAGGTTGACTTGACTGAGACCCACTTGTCTGTGGAAGCAAAATCTCATACTCTGAGGCCTGGGTTTTATCCAGGTGCTAGGATTTGGGAAGCAGGGTAGGGTTCTGTGCTGAACCAGGTTTCTCTTGGTAATGGGAACCTAGGGAAAAACACCAGCTAACACACAGCAGAGTGAGTTTTGATTTGCATCAAAATCAGATCTTCCTAAAATTTTCCAGTCCTTCAGCTGCAAGAGTGGGTCTGAATTTCTACTCCAAACTAGGAGCTAGTTTGCTGCTAAATGGGTCCACTTGGACACATCCAGAGGAACACTGTGTAAAGGAGGTAGAGAAGGCTTTGTGCTCACATCTGTGGGGTGGGGAATGACTCATCTGTCAGCCCCAAGCTGGCCTCCTCCACATCCCCGGAAATCATTCATGAAGTTCCCAGAACAACAGTACCTTAAAGGGACCTTGCTTCTCTAGGCCTGGTAAATGCTTCTTCACTCCCATCCAGGCCTGGAGGTGACACTCAGGTGGCTCTTTGAAAGGAGTCAGGCTTAGGCAGTTAACTGTTCACAGTCAATGTGGATGTGGGGTCCCAATGGGAAGCTGGATGGGTCAGGTCCATCTCCCCGCTAGTGGAGAGGAAAGAGCTGTATTCAAGAGTCCCTGAACCCATGGAGTGGCAGCCCAGCAAGCTGAATGACCCCTGCTACATGGAATGGCACAGCCGTGCCCCAGCTGCCCCAGCTCAGGGAACAAGCAGCAATTCCCCATTGTTCTGAGAGAGGCTGCTGTGAGGGTTAGGGTCATTTACATTCCCAGCTGGCTTTTATTCCTCTGAAACAGACAACATACCCAGGAGCCTTTGACTATTTAAAGACTGCTCCCTGGCAAGACATTTGGGTAATTGGGCATTGATGTTAGTCTCCTGTCACCTTTATATATAGTGATGGTCATGTGGCCTTAAAGGCCTTGTTACCCTTTAATTGGAATTTCCCCGTGGGAGGGGCCTATGTGAGCCTTAAAGGGCCAGCTTGGAGAAAGAAAGACAACCTCTGGCACTTTCTTCCCTCGTTTTAGTGAGAGCGCTTGGACTGTGAGGAAGAGAAACAGACTTGTGATATATTTAGAAAAAATAAAAGAGGAACAGGAAACGGTTATTTTAATACAGTTCCCGGCTGAAGGATGTAGTTCAGCTGGGGAACACAGGCCAGAGGTGACAAAGCTCCAGGGACCCTGGGACGTACGCTGGTCTCCTCCCAGCCCTCTTGTCTCTACACACCCATCTCCCTTGTCCCTCTCTTGACCAGCTTTCAAGTGATTCTGCGCACCCGTCACAGAATGCTGCTCCCATGTTTGCACGGGTTTCCACCTCATTTCAAGCCACCCACGCGCTTGGACTGGCGATGTCTGCATGACAGTCCCAGATCCTGAGAAAGTCGGGCTTGGGATGGGAGGCTCACAGTCCTGGGAAGAAGATAGTGGGTGGGCTCTTCACAGAGAAAAGCAATGTCCTTCCGGGACGCGGTACTATCTAGGGTAGCAAAGGGAACTAAGCGGAAGGATGTGGGTGAGAAAGGGGAGGGGATGGAGGGAGGGGAGATATGATCAACGGACACTATCCTCGTATGAAAACGTAGGGTGCCCTGTGGGTTCCACCCACATGGGTGGATTATGTTACTCTTAGACGTTTTGGGGTTTTAAGCAAAAGTTAGCTATGGGATACTTCCTTGTGAGTTGTTGGCCAGAGAGGAGACTCCCACTGCCCCTGGTTGCTTGCCAGAACTAGACAGCAAAGCACTGTTGCCTAAGATCCCACACTCTTTGGTTATAGGACCCAGAGACATCTGACTGTAACTGAGCTGGACTCCCTCTGCCTGCTGGTCAGCATACACAGCGCCTGAAGGTGCTAGGCAGCCTGCTGGAGCAGAATCATCGTCAGCGGGCTTACTCAGGTATGGACCTCCATCGCCACAGTGTTTACCTGGCTGGCAAAGACACACCCACTAGTGCGGTGGTGGCATGACCGTTGAGGGTGTAACCAACTGCCTTCTTATTGGAAACACGACTGGTTTTACAAACCAAGTCAAAACGCTATGGTTCGCAGTAGGGAGCCCATGGCTGTTGTTTTGCTAAGAGGACATATTGTCAAACTCTCTACCCACAGACAGTGCTGCCCCGACATTGGGAAGAGAAGCTCCCTTTTGCAAAGGGTAGAAGCTAATACAGAGACTTGTATTTGGCAAATGGGCCGAGAGTAAGTGACCTCCGAGTGCCCAGCTATGTCACCCCACTAAAGGCCCTCGAAGCACTGTAGAAGAGGGAGCAGAAAGAGTGTAGGAGTTGAGGATGGGGAGGAACACCGTGGAACACTTCCATCCAGATAGGATGCGGCCATCGGAGTCAGGCTTGCACAGTGGCTATGCATACCTATACAAGTCTTACACAAGACCGGACCCGTCAACATTCCATCGTGGATGGGGTAGGGTCCCAGGAGGCCCTCGCCCTTCCAGGGGAACTAGAAAGGGATGGTGACATTTTCTTCAGTGCTGTAGCCACTGGTTAGTTGCTCATGCTCCAGCCAGTGGTCCCAGACCATGTTGCAAGCAACCCTAATTAAACTCAGTGGGTTAAAAAAATATCAGGAAGCAAAGAGTAAACAATGGGATCTGACACCCTGATTTACAGAGAATTAAAGCTTGTAGAGCTTCACGATCCAAAAAGAAGGAGGAGGAGAAGGAGAGGCAGCAGCAGCAACAGCCAGGCTGGCGAGATGGCTCTGCAGGTAAAGGCACTGCCAAGCCCGATGACCTGAGTTCAATACCTGGAACCCCCTGAGAATTGTCTTCTACCTTCCACACACATGCTGCAGAACGTAAACACAGGAGCACACAATAAACAAATAAGCAAATAGACAGACTGCCTTATGTAACAATATTATACACAATGAAAAATTCTAAAAGAAATGTTTTAATCTTATGAAAGACCAAAACAAAATGAACAAATCAAATAACAAAAATCAAGGGAAGCATTTCTGAAACAGCCCTTACCCTTCTTGACCATCCTACCTACCCGCCCTGTATGGGATGTGGAAAACTGAGGCTCGCCAGCCTTTTCTACTTGAATGAAGATTGTTGAGGAAATAGTTTTGTTTCTCATGAAAGTTAGTGATTTTCAAGCTATAGTTATATTTTGAAAGAAGCAGAGTTATCATTCATTAGTTGGAGCATGTTGCTTAACCAAAGTCTTTTTACTGTGTAATTTCGTCAAAAGGAAGTATCCTCAAAATAAAAGAGTGAGTGAGTGAGAGTGAAATTTTAGTTCCAAAGGAGAGTGATTCCTAAAACAATCCAGGACAGTTATGTAAAGTTCTTTGGTATTTCCGCCTTCAAAAAAAATTAAATTCAAGAAACGGACAAGAAGGAAATAAAAATCCACAGGAAAGACAAAGTCACCTGGAGGATCAGAGGTTCTTAACATCCCGTAGCCCCACAGGGTGTGGCACTATTAGGAGGCGTGGCCTTGTTGGAGTAGGTGTGATGCTGTTGGAGGACCTGTGTCACTAGGGGCGGTCCTCACTCAGAAGCCCAAGCCAGACCTGTTGTGTCTCAGTCTCTTCCTGCTGCCTGCAGACCCAGCTGCCTCTTCAGCACCATGTCTGTGTGCCGCCATGCTTCCTGCCACGACAACAATGGACTAACCCTCTGTAAGCCAGCCCCAGTTAAATGCTTTCCTTTATAAGTGGTGCTGTGGTCATGGTGCCTCTTCACATCAATAGAAGCCCCAAGACAGGTGGTAACTCCTCTTGGCATGATGGTGCATGCCTGTTGGGAGGCTTCGGCAGGAAGGTGGCGAGTTGGGGGTCAATTTGAGGTTCCACGATAGCCTGGACGGTCAAAAAGACGTCAAAAGATCCTGTCTCAACAAAGGCAAGCCCTGGGTTATGTAACTCAAGTCAAATGTGTCTCCTTCTCTTCCTGTATCCTATGATGGACAGACCCATCTGGGAAGATTGCCAGACATGCCAGGCCTTAGTCACTGAATTTGAGAAAGTTCTTGTTAGGTGTGGTGGCCTGCAGTTTAATCCCAGAGCTCAGAAGACAAAAGCCAGAAGCCCTGAGAGATTGAAAACATCCAGGGTTACAGATTCAGACATTTCTCCAAAACAGAGAAAGAAACAAAAGACTTGAAGTTGGGAGGGAGATGGCAGCTATGTAAGAGAGGGTTAGGGAGGGCAAGACCTGGAGGGAAGGCATGGGAATGGATAATACCAAGAGGCATTGTATACATATATAAAATTATCAAAATATGCTTATTAAACAAAACCAATCGGCACACAAGAAAAAATAAACATAAACTACAAAATGTAAAATAAGTTTTGACGTAACATGGTGGTGAATTCCAGTTGATCTTTATTTCACTTTACTGCTATTCCCATGAACAGATGTTTCTCAGGTAAGTTATTGTTCATTGCTCCTTTTTCATACATTTCAACTACCCTAAGGTGGTCCTTACTGATGACTTCACACTTGACAGTATGTTTGGCATAGCAGCCTGCCTCAATTTACCGTCCACTGCAAACCCTGCCTAAAATACCCTCCTTTTGTGTGTGTACATGACTGTTGAGGCTTCAGAGTCGATTAAAAATACGCAACTCATAAGTGCAGAAAGAAAAGAACAACTTACTAGCCTTTCTCAAATTTGAGGAAGTTTACATGTGTACATTTTCTGTTTCCCTTGTAAGTTTAGTTGAGAATGGCCAGCACTTCATGTGCCTTTATTAACAGGAGTAAAATATCTTATTTTCACCAATATGCAAAAACCAACAACACTTCTCTGTCACATACATAGTAAGTTTCTTCTTGGTCAGTTGTGGACACTGCTATCTAACAAAGGGTTGGAGGGAAAGCTCTGGTCCCTACCGCACATTATCCACCCGCCGGTCTGGTTCAGTGACTTTGGTGGCTTCTTTCTCTCAAGTAGGAAAAGCTCTACACATGGTTTCTGGGGGCTCAGTGATACTTTTCATATTCCCTCCTTGAAGAAATAACCACCTTTACTTTTAATACCTGGAATTATTTATATATACTTGATTGTTTTATTTTAGTATCTATTTTTGTGATGTATGTATATGTGTGTATATGTTTGTATATGTGTGCTTGTGTATGTGTGTGTGTGTGTGTTTGTATGTGTGTGTGCTTGTGTGTGCAGGCATGTGGAGTCTAGAAGTTGACTCTGGATGTCCTCGCCAATCACTCTGTACCTTATTTATTTAATTAGAATATTTATTTTAGTTTTGTGTGCACTCTGTGTGTGTATGTGTATATGTGTGTGTGTGTGCGTGTGCGCGTGTATGTGTGTGTATGTGTCCAAGGAGATGTGTGTGCAGGCATCTGCAGAAGCCAGAGGCATCTGATCCCTCCTGGAGCTGGAGTTTCAGGTGGTAGTGAGCTGTCTGAAGTGGTGTGGGAAACCAAACCTGGGTCCTCTGGAAGAGGCGAATGAGCTCTTACCTGTTGGGACATCTCTCCAGCTCTACAACTTTGTTTTTTGAGACAACGTCTTCTCACTGATCCTAGAGCTTATTGCTGTAGCTAGACTGGCTAGCTAGTGAACTCCAGAGACCCAGCTGGTTCACCCCCTAAGTGCTGGGGTTCCAGGCATGCTCCTCCACCACCCACTTTTACATGGGTGCTGGGGATTTGAACTCAGGTTCCCATGGCTGCATAGCAAACAGTTTACTCACTGACACATCTTCCCAGACTGCACATTTATTCTTTCTTCATGTGTTTTGAGACATAGTCTCATTCTGTTGTCTAGGCTGGCCTCAAACCCTTAGCCAACCTATTGCCTCAACCTCATGAGTTTGGGATCACAGGGTTGCACCACTGTATCTGGCTTCAACTTGATTCCTGATGGATCTAGGCAATAGCTGTGCAAATGTGTTTACTCTTGAATGGTTCTGGCATATCCCAAGACTCAATGAATAATAACTATCTGGGTTATCGGCTGCAGGTTGGGGATAGGTAGGAAACTGCCTGTCTCTCTGTTCTCATGAAAAACAACTCCCCAAGCTGTGTCACTAAGGTTGTCCATCCACAGTGGGTTTATGGGTACTCAGATGCACAGGGTCACGCAGGGTTCCAGGTTGATGGCTCATCCTGTAGCTGTGGCTGTACCTTTTGGAATAGGCAATATCTCCTGTTGCCATGGAGAAGAGAAAGAAAGGTGATGGAGAGCCAGGCCTGGGGATTTCCCAGCTTCAGCACATGACAGCACACTTCGCGTTAGCTCACATCCCTCGGCCACACCAGGGTATGCGGCTAAGAGCAGGTGGCATGTGTACAGGGGAAGAAAAGGGAAGAGAACCAACCAGAAGGGAGTTTGCTTTCGTACACGAATCCAGGTTAGGCTCACACATTGTGGACCACAGAATGCGGCTGTGTGATCCATCACAATATGAATGTCCACTCTCACTTCATAATAAGAGCCCTGGAGACTCAGGATAGAGGGAGCTAGGCAGTTCGGTTTCATGATTTTGCAAAGCTGGCCGTCAGCCTGGATTGGCAGATGTGCTGGTTGAGGCCAGAGAACTGGCTTTGTAACCCCGTGCAGCACCCCAGCCTCTCCTCCCTGCTGAGCAGCCAAGAGGGTTCCATCTTACACACTAGTTAGGTCTTCTCTTTCCTCTGCCACTTACATCCGTCCTTCTCTCAACAAAGACCACGTGTTCATCTCTACTCTTACGTGCTGCTTATTTTGACACACATCCAGAGTGTGGGTTTGAAAATCACACCTGCGGCAAGCTCGGCTCCTAATGGGGTTTTCATTCTAAGCTTCTAGGGCAGCTAATGGAGTTTGGGCGAGGGCGTTAGTTAGGCTGCCAGAAGGGCTCTATGTTTTCTGCTTGTCTGTGTTTGGAGCTAAGCTGATGGCGGCATTTTTATTTTGAAAATGAACTGTTGGAGTTTTCTTCTTCCAGGCTCTTATTCGGGTATTCACGGCAGGTGAGAAGGAGCCAGAAGGGCCCCCGGAGCAGGAGCACCGACTCTCCAATCTCCATGTTTCCCAATGCTGACAAATGATGGTTAGAAACATCTCTGGGTGGGTTTGACCTTCCTTAGCGAGGCATGCTTTGCTGGAGAGATTTCTGAATGGGAACAGTTGCCACTTCCCAGCGAGGGAGAGTCTGAGGAAGGCTTTCCCTTGGGCTGAAGCCAGCACAAAGCTCCCCCAGTTTGTGGGCCTCACGACTACAGTCTTGTGACTTCAGGTTTGTTCTGGGTGGGCTCTGGTCCAGCGGTGAAGAACCTGAGCATCCCCATCACCCGCATCCTCCATTCTGACTTAGGTTGTGCGCTCACACCCGCCACTGGCCAGGGAAAGGTGGTGATGCACTGATTGGCTTGGGCCAGGATCCCTTGAGCCACCCTTGGTCTCACGATTATGAGGACACAGGTGTGCTTGCCTGCGCGCTGCTCATCTGCAGAGGCCTGAGAGGACTTTTGTGTCTCCCTCTGTCACTCTTCACCTTGTCACCTTGAGTTGGGGTCTCCAACTGAACCATAAGCTCACTGTTTTGTCGAAGGGCTAGCAAGCTCTTGGGATATACTGATATCTGTACCCCAATGCTGGAGTTACAGACTTACATGGCTATACCCCGGACTCAGACTTCTTACCTGATGATGTTTCTAAGCCTGCGTGCTCTAGATAGTCCTACACACCCAGGAGCCTGTGGGTTGCAGTCCTACACCCTCAGAGGAGCCTGTGGGTTGCAGTTCCTGTCTGATCTCTCCATTCAATCCATGCACTTGACGTCTTTTTAAGCATGTGCATTTCTGACTTGTATGTACTATTTTATAAGGAGACAGAGGTCAGTGAGACTCCATTCTACCTTCAGACAGTTTCACATCTAGTTATGGGGACACGGGAGGTGACTTTATGGTATGCTGGGGGCCGGTTGTCACAGGAACTGTTTAGCGCCAACTAGACTCGCGCCTATTTTAGAGATTCTTTTCAAGATCAAAGGTTCAATAAGAAGAGTAAGATTCTCCCTTCTGTTGTCTTCTGCCCTCCCCGTGAAGGGAACCTAGAATGACCCGTACTATTGCTGGGCCAAATCCGAAATGATGGCCCCTTTCCCCCTATGCCCTATTGTCTTGTGACCAACTGGCTCTTCTCCCTTTTGGTTTGTGGTGATTAGCAGACAGATAAACCACTTCATTGCTTATCTGAGGGTGTTTATCAGGGTCCAGGCTGAGTCTAAATGAATACAATATGATTCATTCATTAAATATATGCAATATGAATATGTTTTAAATGAAAAAAATCAACATATATAATGATACTGTTCTGATTTTTGCTCATTACAAGTGAAGGTTGATTATCTCAGGGATACTTGGTTCTCATATTATCTGTGGTCCTGAGTTCTGGGCTCTGTTCAGTCTGGCTTTGCTTGTCTTCCTGGGCCAATGGAGAAAAGGTACCTTCCCAACTTCAGTTTGGCAGCATCATGTGACCACTCCTAACCAAAGAAATGCAAGCAGAGTGGTACTGGCTCCCACCCACTCTGACCTGGACAAGTGTCCATGTGTATCTGAGTCATCCAGCCACATGCATTCAAATGCTTTGTAAGGGCTGGTAAGGGCTTGGCAGGGAGAGGTACTCAGCTCCAAGTCT